ATCATAAGTAAACCTCTAGTGTTATTTGTACATCATAAGTAAATCTAGTGTTATTTGTACATTAGTAAATCTAGTGCTATTTGTACATCATTAGTAAATCTAGTGTTATTTGTACATCATAAGTAAATCTAGTGTTATTTGTACATCATAAGTAAACCTCTAGTGTTATTTGTACATCATAAGTAAATCTAGTGTTATTTGTACATAAGTAAATATAGTGTTATTTGTACATCATAAGTAAATCTAGTGTTATTTGTACATCATAAGTAAATCTAGTGTTATTTGTACATCATTAGTAAATATAGTGTTATTTGATACATCATTAGTAAATCTAATGTTATTTGTACATCATAAGTAAATCTAGTGTTATTTGTACATCATAAGTAAATATAGTGTTATTTGTACATCATAAGTAAACCTCTAGTGTTATTTGTACATCATAAGTAAATCTAGTGTTATTTGTACATTAGTAAATCTAGTGCTATTTGTACATCATTAGTAAATCTAGTGTTATTTGTACATCATAAGTAAATCTAGTGTTATTTGTACATTATAAGTAAATTTAGTATTAATTCTATATTAGAAGTAATTTACTGCTTAAGTAATTTACTGCTTACGTAATAAAAGATTTTATGATAAAGCATTGAGAAATCTGCATCCTAAGACACTGATTTATCATGAAACGTCTGGCTACAGAGTAATCTATAAAGCAAACGTGAGGAAAGCGGCCTGTCATACGTCAAAACCTTAAGTTATATTTTGCGTTTTGAGAGAGGTTGTTTTTTGCTCTGGTGAAGGAAATGAAAACATTTCTTAACGTAATTGCAAACAACATTCACAGTCGTGCACAAATTTTAAAAAGATATATCTAAGAATTTATGTTGCAGACATATGCATGTTTACTGTTGATGTTAACTTCTGTTTATCTTGTTAATAAACACAGGTGCTGTTTGGAGATATATTGGTGTTTAAAAGATAAGTTTATGATTGCCATAAGTTTAGGAAGCATGCCCATATCGTATCTTTACGCACGATCACTTTTACAATAACACTGCAACGGTTGTTATTCGATGATAAATAAAATTAAATGAAAAGATATACAGAAAGTCCACCGAAAATAAAGTTGACGAAGACAGCCATATTATGGTGTATACTGTGTCGTCATCGTTACACTACGAGGGTTGTACTTCACATAATATGTGGACAGTTATCAATAAAGTACACTCGTGTTATTTTGTGTTATGGTCCGTGACGTAAATTTCATCCACTTTCATTTGAGATATGTCAGCATGGCCCTACAGAGTAACATTATTATGTAGAGTCTTTTGTATTCTACCGACAGCTGAGCGATTTGCAGGGAAATTTTACGTTAATGCAATATAGACAGCAGGTATCACTGTAACCTTTATCTGATATACATTCTTTTCACATTAGTACGAAATTCTACTTACCAATCAATAGACACGTATTACGCAACGACGCCATTTTGATATTTTATGATGTGAACAAAATTTTTCAGCCAATTAATGTGTTTGTTTCTAGCAACATTTAATCATACGAATTGTATATATTTCACATGTAGAGATGGTCTAATGTAATTCTGTTCGTCTTTTTTTGTTAGAGCTCTGAATACAGAATACAGAATGAACTCGTTGCTTCATAATGAGGAACGTTAAATATCTCGTTATAAAGGTGTAGATACTAATGGTTCATAGTGTATTTGAAGTGACGATAAAATAACAGAGAGTATGTAGGTTATCAACACACACAGCATTCCTGTAAATCTTACAAAATGAATAGAAAGCACAATCTAAATACCAGATCTAAGTACAAATTCTGAATTTATGATATAAGTACGTAATTACAGTACGTAATAGTTTCTATTAGACTTTATTCATTTAACACCGAGACTATCTCCTTTTCAGGTAGGATTTTGTAAATCACAGACGGCAGAATGTGATATTCTATCACACACATAAGTACCAAACTTTAAATTAAACATAATGTACATCTTTCTATACAAATAGTTAAAATTCTGATAGGAATTTTGTTTCTACACATATATACCGATTTATCATTCTATACCATTAAAATTAAAAGAAAAATGTTCGCTTCGTTACGCTTCATTGATAACAAGGGCAGTTTTTGTTTATTTGAACCGTTCGTTCAGGAGAAATGTTTGCTTGATATCTGGGTCACTAAAATTCGGTTATCTCCCTTTGAGGTGAAGGTTATATATTATTTGTAATATACTCCCATGATGTCAAAACATATTTTAAAGTTTGTTTATGTTCCTTTCATTATTAAGTTTTTACACGTAATTGACTTTCCTACCTTTATGTCAATACTTCCTATTGTAGGGTTATCTCCCCATGAAGTCATTGCATACAAATAAATCGGTTATCTCCCCTTGGTGTATATGTTTATTTTTTAATTGGTTATCGTCAAAGTTAACTGTTTGATATGCTATCTTCTCTTGATATGAAGACTCATTCATCAAGCAGTTATCGGCTCGGGATGTTCAGGCTGAAACAAAACTGACCTTCAAAATATTCAATTCAAATTCAAAATCATGGAAACGAGGGAAAACTATAAATAAAAGAAAGGTGCGTTCAGAAGGGTTATCGTCTTTTATCTATCGACGTCATGCACCCTTAAATTCTTAGTCTAATCAACTTATTAACATCACGTAGTCAAATGAGAGCCAGTTTCATAGCATTGAGATAATCAGGCATTCTAACGAGCATCGTCCACATCTAATTCTGTATGTCACAAGGAAAACCAATTCGCCAAACACTCACATTTATTTAAGAATCTACAGTATTATTTTCAGGAAAAGAACATTTTAAAGGTCGGCCTGTTTTCAAGTTTTTAGTGTATGAACAAAGGATATTATGAAGTTGACCGTTGATTGCCCTGCTAATAAGTGAATAGATTCCCTCCCTTGACGTCATGGCTTACAAATCTTTTGATGTCAGAAAATAATATTTAGTTTTTTTTTTTATTGTTTCTTGGTGTAAATCCTAGTTTTAATACTAACAACCCACACATTATATAGAGAGTTTAACAGGGACCTCACTCTTGTATCAGTAATCACAAACATAGCACAGAACATATACACTATTCATAGAACGTGGTATCACAGAGGGCAAGATCAATTAAATATTTACACAGGCTGGTTTTTAGTTCTCCGCTGATGTGTTTTTGACCTCGAGACGTAAAGGTACAAAAGATACAGCGGTTGTCCACTCAATTCGGAACTGACTGCTAATTTCTGAACAGCTGTTACAATGTAAATACCACATTTAAGTCACGGTCTATATATCGAATGCCGTTAAGGATATCTCTAAGGTGACTGCTAACTAAATCTATTTCGAAATAGTGAAATATGACAAGCCACGTGAAATGTATACAAGGTAAATGTTTATCATTGAGAGTCGCTTTCACTTTAATATAGAGACTCATCAGTACCATCTTTAGTGATCAGATTAAGTATCTTTCATAGAAATCGCTCGAGAAAGTTATATATAAAATATCTTATGTCAATTTATATATTTGATTTTGTATGTAAAATACACAAACAAGATATCTAATATCCCATTTGTGATATCTTACATAATTTGAAATCTGGTGTATTTTTCAATGTGCATTATGAATAATTTGTATGGAAGGATTGGGGTGCGCATATTCAATGCAACGAAATCTAAATACATTTTGCTACTACATAAAACCGTATAACTTTTCGAAACCACATGAAACATTTTAAAACTTGGAAAATAAAACGACCTGAATTTTATCAATAGTAATCTGATTAAAACACACATTTTTATTTCATTCCGTGACATAAAAGTATACAGAGAATTAAAGAGTGAGAAATAGAATCTCCAATCTAATCAGATTGTAATAACAGGTAATACTTTTATTTACCAACTGCTCTCCCCTATCTTACCGACTAACAACGTTCCTCAGAATCCATATTCTCAGCATGACAACCAGGGTGATTGCATATGGTTTGATTCTATATTGATTAACGTCATGTCAACAGCTTTGGTCACACAATCAAGTCACATGAACCAAAGCAAAATCAGTATGAAGACGAAAGCTTTAAGGCTATATACCAAAGTTGTACCAATAATCCGTACTTACTTACTGTACAAACAGAGAAGCTAGGGTTTAGATTACACCTTGTTGTAACATATATTCTGTAACTGAAAAACAGATCGAAAGAATAGTCAACGATTATCCAGCCAACAAAGTGGAAAAGGTAGGACAATAACATATGCTACTTTTAAATCAATGTAAATGTGAAATGTCGGGGCATCAATGTATTGACAAGAGTATAGTGTTCCTCTTGAAATTTTACCCACTCCTCGTTATCTGTTATCAAATAGACTTAATCTGTTTCAATTACACGCTTTCTTTGGCCTCAAACAGCTCGGCGTGAGTTAAGGGGCTATTTAACTAGGACTAATTAACTAAAAATAGAAATGGTAAACAATGCGTTAAATCGTTATTACAACAGAACAAAACTTCCTACGGAGTCGATTGAAAGAGAGCAACAGATATGTAAAGCACGGCTGGTTATACAACAATAACACAACCGGAACCGGAAGTCACTATTATTTTTTCAAAAATTATTAACAGAAGACAAACATAAGATAAATCTATTTTGTTAATTATTGTTAAAAGCTTGTTAAATAGAGGACAATAGTTGTGTATTTTGACACGCAGCGTTTACGATTTTGGTGATCAAGTTTTATAATGAGTATTACAAACACAGGCAATAATTTATATAATGCAGTTTGTTGATTTTTTCGCAACAGGCAGGGTCAAATAAGGACTGGTGTCTTGGGAGACAACAACAACAAAGGTCAAATGAGGACTGGTGTCTTGGAAGACACCAACAGCCAAGGTCAAATGAGGACTGGTGTCTTGGGAGACACCAACAGCCAGAGTCAAATAAGGACCGGTGTCTTGGGAGACAACAATAGCCAGATCAAATGAGGACTGGTGTCTCGGGAGACACCAACAGCCAGAGTCAAATGAGGACTGGTGTCTTGGGAGACGCCAAGAGGCAGGGTCAAATGAGGACTGGTGTCTTGGGAGACAACAACAACCAAGGGCAAATGAGGACTGGTGTCTTGGGAGACGCCAAGAGCCAGGGTCAAATGAGGACTGGTGTCTTGGGAGACACTAACAGCCAGGGTCATAAGAGGACTGGTGTCTTGGGAGACAACAACAGCCAAGGTCAAATGAGGACTGGTGTCTTGGGAGACACCAACAGCCAGAGTCAAATGAGGACTGGTGTCTTGGGAGACACTAACAGCCAGGGTCATAAGAGGACTGGTGTCTTGAGAGACGCCAAGAGCCAGGGTCAAATGAGGACTGGTGTCTTGGGAGACAACAACAGCCAAGGTCAAATGAGGACTGGTGTCTTGGGAGACGCCAAGAGCCAGGGTCAAATGAGGACTGGTGTCTTGGGAGACACTAAAAGCCAGGGTCAAATGAGGACTGGTGTCTTGGGAGACACCAACAGCCAGGGTCAAATGAGGACTGGTGTCTTGGGAGACACTAACAGCCAGGGTCATAAGAGGACTGGTGTCTTGGGAGACAATAACAGCCAGGGTCATAAGAGGACTGGTGTCTTTGAAGACACTAACAGCCAGGGTCAAAGGAGGACTGGTGTCTTGGGAGACACCAACAACCAAAGTCAAATAAGGACTGGTGTCTTTGGAGACAACAACAACCAAGGGCAAATGAGGACTGGTGTCTTGGGAGACAACAACAGCCAAGGTCAAATGAGGACTGGTGTCTTGGGAGACACAAAACAGCCAGGGTCGAAAAAAGAGGACTGGTGTCTTGGGAGACACTAACTGTCAGGGTCAAATGAGGACTGGTGTCTTGGAAGACGCAACAACCAAGGGCAAATGAGGACTGGTGTCTTGGGAGACACCAACAACCAAGGTCAAATAAGGACTGGTGTCTTTGGAGACAACAACAACCAAGGGCAAATGAGGACTGGTGTCTTGGGAGACAACAACAGCCAAGGTCAAATGAGGACTGGTGTCTTGGGAGACGCCAAGAGCCAGGGTCAAATGAGGACTGGTGTCTTGGGAGACACTAACAGCCAGGGTCATAAGAGGACTGGTGTCTTGGGAGACAACAACAGCCATGGTCAAATGAGGACTGGTGTCTTGGGAGACGCCAAGAGCCAGGGTCAAATGAGGACTGGTGTCTTGGGAGACACTAACTGCCAGGGTCATAAGAGGACTGGTGTCTTGGGAGACACCAACAGCCAGGGTCAAATGAGGACTGGTGTCTTGGGAGACAATAACAGCCAGGGTCATAAGAGGACTGGTGTCTTTGAAGACACTAACAGCCAGGGTCAAAGGAGGACTGGTGTCTTGGGAGACACCAACAACCAAGGTCAAATAAGGACTGGTGTCTTTGGAGACAACAACAACCAAGGGCAAATGAGGACTGGTGTCTTGGGAGACAACAACAGCCAAGGTCAAATGAGGACTGGTGTCTTGGGAGACACAAAACAGCCAGGGTCGAAAAAAGAGGACTGGTGTCTTGGGAGACACTAACTGTCAGGGTCAAATGAGGACTGGTGTCTTGGAAGACGCAACAACCAAGGGCAAATGAGAACTGGTGTCTTGGGAGACACCAACAACCAAGGTCAAATAAGGACTGGTGTCTTTGGAGACAACAACAACCAAGGGCAAATGAGGACTGGTGTCTTGGGAGACAACAACAGCCAAGGTCAAATGAAGACTGGTGTCTTGGGAGACGCCAAGAGCCAGGGTCAAATGAGGACTGGTGTCTTGGGAGACAACAACAACCAAGGGCAAATGAGGACTGGTGTCTTGGGAGACAACAACAGCCAAGGTCAAATGAGGACTGGTGTCTTGGGAGACAACAACAGCCAGGGTCAAATGAGGACTGGTGTCTTGGGAGACAACAACAGCCAGGGTCAAATGAGGACTGGTGTCTTGGGAGACAACAACAGCCAGGGTCATAAGAGGACTGGTGTCTTGGGAGACAACAACAGCCAAGATCAAATGAACACGAGTTTTGATGGAGGCAACATCGGAATAAATATACTTCGTTAAAATTTAATGAAGAATTCATCTTTTTTATTATTGTAATAGGGACAGTAGAGTGTTTTGTCTGTTTTATTAGACTGTACAAACAAATAGCTCCACAAACGTACAGGTAGATACAGCAGAGCCAAGCAATAAACCATACAGCATCGTACATCTGGTTTGTATTCTAGGACTCGGCAGTGATGCTAATGGCAGACATTATGAAGCCTTTGAGACGACTGAGGAAAATCTAAAGTGATCGAGAGAAAAGTCAAAATCTAGATGAGGGGTGCACTAGCCCTGAAATTAAATAACTTTCGAAATTTTCATTCATTTGTATATATGATATGTTTGGAGGAAATCAAGTACTTGTGTATATTTTGAACCCTGGTACTATTTAAATCAATTAAAACGTGACATGCAGGTTACGGCAAAACTCGGAGACTAAAAAATCCAAGAGCAGTGTTTACCACTGTGCAAGGAAGGCAAAGAAGGAAATCCGATTCTACCGGGGACCTTACAACATATCTTCTTTTACATGTAGCGATTTACAACAGTCATATCTTTATTTATTTATTTATTTATTTATTCTTGAGGTGAACGTTCATACAGAAAAGTAGAAGAAGGGGAATAACTCTTATAGTCAGTTCTTTAATTGATCTGTTTACTGGTTCTATCTTACAGTGGCCTTTGTTGTGTTGTTGATAAACGAATCTCTGTCATTAGTTATGCTTTGATGCTTGTGTTGAGTAACAGTGGTCTCGACTCAATTTTTGCGAGAAAGAGGCATTCATACAGATACATCTTTTAAGTGGAACGGGATTGTCGGAATAGGGCAACTATGTGGGTTTGTTTTAATAGAATTACCGGATCAATGATTGTCTTGTCGTTTAATTACAAAGATGTCGAGTTATATGTTGTTTTGCGATATTTACGTAATTCATACCTACATCCTGTATTGATGGTAACAGCTCAGTGCTTGTGTGTTCAACGCCTCATTCACCATCTGTCAATCCACAGAGTAAGCATGAAGCCGATGTCCGGGGTTGGTCGAAAATGAAACGTAAACAATTGAGAACGATTGAAACAATAGTAAACACTTTCAGAATAAAGCATTACTGAAAATGGACGGCGAAACACCATTACCAGCCAGTGTCGGTATCTAGAAACAGATAACAACTGACACGTATTTGACTTGGGTCTAACAGAATGATATATGAGCTGAATGTAAGGCTCAAAGCTGATCTAATAGGAAAAAAATATTAAAACTATTGCGGACGGTGATTTAAGGTTTGAGAAGAGAGATGACAGGAAATACTTTAATTTTTAAAAAAATGTTCCGTAGGGGTTCGGTTATCATATATCCTACATAATTGTATACAACAGCTGTACACAAAAGTACGGTTTTAACATCATGCAGTAATTTGCATTGTTATTTTAACCCAAACGGGGGATAGTTAATTTTCAACTGTTTTCGGCTAACAACTTGTTCTGAATATAGGTTACAATCAATTTTTCTGATTTTGTGTTTAAATGCTCTTGGGTGTCTTTCGTATAATCTGTTAACATTTACTTCGAAAAAAAAAAGATTAATTTTTTTCATATAATGCTTTAATTATCATTTTACATTGTTTCATACTATAGATATTGTAATATTTTGTACTAGGATTATTGTGTGTGATATCTAGTAATTTATATATATATATATATCTGCCGTAAGACTTACTTCAATGAATAGGATATGTAACCGTATACGGACAATATATTATCCCTGCAGCATGCCGTGAAAACCATCGCCGCTTTTGGTTCCATTAATGAAATAGTGAGATTGATGGGAGATAATTGACAAAGTGCGCAATAGGAAGTGCTGACCGGTGATGTGACCTCGTGAACTATGTCGCATTGACGACAGAGCTGTTTATAGACATTTAGTTATGATAGCATTAACACTTCTAGACGTCAGACAGGACGAGAATATACGATCGACCCCATTACATTGCGTGCTGATGAAGTATTGAAAGTGACACATGAATTTACTAATAAAATGAAAGCGACCTTTTCCTCGTCGTCACAGAAACGAGGAAAATAAATCGAACACTAAAATAAATCGAATACCAAGCATTCCTCGAGCTCTGTGTGCTCACAAAAATGTAGAAAACATACCACGAGCTGTTTAGTCATAATATGTAAAAACGTCAATTACCAAGCATTCATCGAGTTATTAAGTCAAAATTACATAAAATTTGAATAGGATGATTTTTTTTGCAAATAAGTTTTTCGCAACAATGTAGAAAACATAAAATGCTACAATCTCACTGAGTTGTTTAGTCACAATATTGTATACACTTCAAGTACCAAGCATTCATCGAGTTGTTTAGTCACAATAATGTTTACACTTCAAGTACCAAACATTCATCGAGATGTTTAGTCACAATATTGTATACACTTCAAGTACCAAGCATTCATCGAGTTGTTTAGTCACAATAATGTTTACACTTCAAGTACCAAACATTCATCGAGTTGTTTAGTCACAATAATGTTTACACTTCAAGTACCAAACATTCATCGAGTTGTTTAGTCACAATAATGTTTACACTTCAAGTACCAAACATTCATCGATATGTTTAGTCACAATAATGTTTACACTTCAAGTACCAAACATTCATCGATATGTTTAGTCACAGTAATGTTTACACTTCAAGTACAAATCATTCATCGAGTTGTTTAGTCACAATATTGTATACACTTCAAGTACCAAACATTCATCGAGTTGTTTAGTCACAATAATGTTTACACTTCAAGTACCAAACATTCATCGAGTTGTTTAGTCACAATAATGTTTACACTTCAAGTACCAAACATTCATCGAGTTGTTTAGTCACAATAATGTTTACACTTCAAGTACAAATCATTCATCGAGTTGTTTAGTCACAATATTGTATACACTTCAAGTACCAAACACTCATCGAGTTGTTTAGTCACAATAATGTTTACACTTCAAGTACCAAACATTCATCGAGATGTTTAGTCACAATAATGTTTACACTTCAAGTACAAATCATTCATCGAGTTGTTTAGTCACAATATTGTATACACTTCAAGTACCAAACACTCATCGAGTTGTTTAGTCACAATATTGTATACACTTCAAGTACCAAACATTTATCGATCTGTTTGATTATAGCAAAGGAAACATTAAACACCAAACACTCATACAGTTGTTTCGTCACAATATTACTAATACATACAATACCGAATAGTCATCTAGTCCTGTGGTAGAACAATGGGTATGTTCCGACTTTTGAATGAAGAATAACACATATGACTGTCAATTAGGCCAAAATTAGCAATAGCTTATTGGCGATAGGAACGGCCTTAGTATACACAAGAAACAAATAGGCAAATGTTCAGAAGGGCGTATTAAGTGTTCCACAACAAAGATTATTAGATATTTAAAGGTCACATATTTTAATGTTTGTAAAACCAAGGATATTGATAAACAAATCCAAAAGAAGGAAGATTTAGTAGTTCAACATTCCCCAAAAACCCTAAATACAAATAATTAGAACCGAGATCACGTAAAAAGTAATAAAAGGCACAGACAGACTAAAGATAATGTTAACACAAATTGCAATAATGTCAGATGTGAGGTAAGTGATATCTGGTTACATGTCCCTGAGAGATTAACAATTCGGAGGTCATTTACCTGTTGTTATAAACAAGGTATAGATATAAATTAATGTCCAATGGGGACCATTCAACTTTCAAATATTTGTATAGAGGTCTGATGTGTAAATCTTAGCAAGAAAAATATCTGTCTTGAGTTTAAAAATTGTTTTATAAATCCAAGAACAGTCAGAAAACTATTTTTTAACTTTCGAGTTTGTTTATTTGTTTTTTTTTTGTTTTGTTTTGGTTTTTTAGTTGTTTTGATTTTTGTTTGTTTTTTTTTATTTGTTTTTGTTTTTCCTTTTTTTAAAATTTTTTTATTTGTTTTTTTAACTTCACCATCCTGTGATATATTTAAAAGCTTTAATTTTTTGTTTTTTGTTTTCTTTTGTTTTTAATTTTTTTACTACGCCATCCTGTGATATATTTAAAAGCTTTAAATTAGTGGTTTGTTTTGTAGTTTTCCATTGGTTATATTTTAATTTAAATAAATGAAAGAATCGATAAATGAACAGAGCTCTTCTGACTTTGTGTTACTTACATGTCCGGTCTTTAAGACAGAACCACCAAACCTTCCCCTACCAATGTAATTTACTTTCCTTCACATGAAAAATATTTTTCTTCGTCTTCACTTTTAGCATTTAAGATATCAGAAAACATTTCGTATTGAATCATTCATATCTTATCTGTAATATTGTGTTTCCAGTATTTTAATTAGCAAACAGGGAACATAAAAATCTAAGTATTGAACATTTTTTTAGAATATGTTTCGTTTTTATCATACAAATAAAGCCTATCTTTATATTTTGTCCGAAAAAAAATACATGTACTTTTCCTGATCTTTTTGAATAACTCAATATCGATAATTTATTGATTTGTGAAATTAGTGTATCATCCCATCTCATTTTTGACATTAATCAAGTCGGATAGTTCTGGGTCGCCGCCTCGGTTTTTAACAATGAAATCCTCATCACCACTGACGAGTCCTAACACGAAACATCTTCAGTATTCAGTGTCTAATTCTACAGTATTAAAAAGTGCAATCGATTTGTGTCTTTTGGGAAATCTCTGACTACTGTTTTCACTACATCATGAAGCCCGGCCGAAGATTGATCCACGATAAATAAAACACCTTCCGAAAAAGGACTGATCTGGCGATCATTTGTATCACAGTACGAGTTATCTACCTTGTACCCTCAATTCTATTCTTCTGTCAAAAAAATTTCTATTAAATTTTAGCGACCATTATCTCCTGGAAATAAGATACCCCCCCCCCCCCCCCAAAAAAAAAAAAAGTTTCTATTGTAAATAATAGGTCCCTATCACTGTCAATCTAGCACAGTCAAAATGATACATTAGACTTTTCGAATGACAGTAGGCACGGTAATGCAAAAACGGTTTTATAACACGCCACCTATTCAGATATAAATTGCTTTCCTCAATTGAATAACACTGATTTCGATATTTTAAAAGTAATTCTTAATGAGTAAATAAAAATGCAAGAATGTCCCACATGATCCCATCATTTTTACGACGGAGCAATCTGTCATAGCTAGTAACGGCATAATTTAAGTAAGGAAATGTAAATATAAACCCCCTCCACTCCCCCCTCTCAACCCGACCCCACTGTCTTTTTTTGTTAGTGCACATTCAGATGTGGGCTGATGTATCTCATTTTATTGCTTATAAGTTTATTATTATGAAAGATACATTGTTGGCATTTCCTCATCTTGAAATACAGCAAGTGTCGCGTGTCGTAATATTTGATGACCTGAGGGTAATGTGATTGTCGTAATATTTGATGGCATGAGGGTAATGTGATTGTCGTAATATTTGATGGTCTAAGGGTACAGTGATTGTCGTAATATTTGATGGCATGAGGGTAATGTGATTGTCGTAATATTTGATGGTCTAAGAGTACAGTGATTGTCGTAATATTTGATGGCATGAGGGTAATGTGATTGTCGTAATATTTGATGGCATAAGGGTAATGTGATTGTCGTAATATTTAATGGCCTTAGGGTACTGTGATTGTCGTAATATTTGATTTCCTGAGGTTTCAGTGATTGTCGTAATATTTAATGGTATGAGGGTAATGTGGTTGTCGTAATATCTGATGGTCTGAGGATACTGTAATTGTCGTAATTTCTTACTGTTTTGAGACACTGTAATTGTCGTAATATCTGATGGTCTGAGGATACTGTGATTGTAACCATATCTAACGTTTTGACGATGCTGTGATAGCCATAATGTATATTTGTGTGATGTTGTGAGAAGAGCAAAGCGATGTTGTCGTTCTGTCTCAAAGATGGAGGACACCGTGATTGTCACCATGCTTGTACTTAATTTGACAATGTACTTCATTATACGCTTTTTATTTTGTAGTTCTTAACTTGCAGTGTGAGACATCTCTGCCACTTCCGGGAGTACTTGTTCCGGATTAAAATAGTATAGTTTTAATACAGATTGTGGATTAATACTTAAAGTGTAGTTCCCTTACATTAGGAAATAGCAAACACAGCTTACATGTCACCAATCCCTACTTATCAGGGATACAGCGTTATCAGTGAAAGCCAGAAAAATATTCACATACGGCGTTGTAGATCGCTCACAATACCGTTAATTCGTCAGGAAAGGAATGTAGGAACATTGTTGAAGTCAACCACTCCCAAATACAAACATACACAAATATGTCGTTTTACAAGATAATTTCTTACATCGTTTTAAAACATTTTCAATTGAAGATGAGGCTAACAGTACAAGTTCATATATTCAAATCGTACCTGTAAGTTTTTATGATATATATATTTACTATGACGAGCTTTTCATATTTATATAATACATCAGTGTGACTAACCTTATTGTAGGATGAGCTATCATTCTAATAGATAAATTGTTTTTTCATATATGTGTGCAACCTTGACCTTTTGACATATGATCTAATTTCGGACAATCCCGCGGACTAATTTTTTATCTACAAACTATATAATTATTATTATCATTAATACATTCTTAACGGCCCGTCAACACAAAAAAGGTCATTAGGGCCATCAAACGGTAAAACACACAGCGATCCAAAAGGAAATAACATTAAACAAACTAAAAGGTAAAAGACAAATGTTAAAAATCTTAAATGGGTATGATAACAAACTCGAATAAGTACATGCTAGAGATATTTGCGACGAGATATATTTTACTTTACTTCTAGTAATTTTTCTCTGGTGATGTTTGGCCCTCAATGATTTTAAATATAGATTGGTTATTGTAATATAATACAAAAACAAAACCCAAAGGCACTAAAATATTAGGAAGAAATTTATTGGTGTAAAATCTTAATAAACAATCTGAAATAGACGAGTAGTGCAATGGTTACGTAAACGTCATGAGTTGTAGATAGTGTTCTGTAATGACAGGTAGTAACATACAATTCACAATATTGAGCTATACATTACGATACAGTATGTGACAAAGTGAGTAAAAAATAAGGTAGAAAAGTATTCTAGTGTACTATTGAGTTGTATTTGGTTATTAAGTATCATCACATTAAACAATACGTTTAATTTATACAAATTAAAAATAACGTGTATATCTCGGTATTGTCGTTTTCAGTCATTATTTCTTATTTTTTTTTACGATATTTTAGCCGTTTTATAACTATGTCAACACGTTAAGTTATCCAAAAAAGGTCCCTGAGGGGGAGCAGAAGGTTCGTTAATAGCCGAATATTTAAGATCGGAAGTGTATTCGGAAGGTGATGGGCATCCCGCTGCTGGTGGATGTCCTGCAGGGGATGGGCATCCCACACCTGGTGGATGTCCTGCAGGGGGTGGGCAACCCGCTGCTGGTGGATGTCCTGCAGGGGGTGGGCATCCCGCTGTTTGTGGATGTCCTGCAGGGGGTGGGCATCCCACACCTGGTGGATGTCCTGCAGGGGGTGGGTATCCCGCTGTTTGTGGATGTCCTGCAGGGGGTGGATATCCCGCTGTTTGTGGATGTCCTGCAGGGGGTGGGTATCCCACACCTGGTGGATGTCCTGCAGGGGGTGGGTATCCCGCTGTTTGTGGATGTCCTGCAGGGGGTGGGTATCCCGCTGTTTGTGGATGTCCTGCAGGGGGTGGGTATCCCGCTGCTGGTGGATGTCCTGCAGGGGGTGGGTATCCCGCTGTTTGTGGATGTCCTGCAGGGGGTGGACATCCCGAAGCTTGTGTTACACTTTGATTTGGAGCTAGCATAGCTGTATCTGAAATGAAAACAAATGATGATCATATGACGTAAATTTTCTCAAAGTAGAATAGTAGAATAAAATAACTCCTAATTTTACCATATAAGAAACTGGCTTGGAAAGGACGTCCTTTCAGGACAGGATTTATATTGTAATGACAAGAATGTACATAATATGAACACCCATGACAACCCACTAGATCTTACTGTGTTAACAACGAGCTAACCCGTCAACCAATTCTTACGTATCCCGTTTAATGCAGAGTTACAAGCAGGAGACACAAACTATCACGTCCCGTATCCCTTTCACTTGTTTTGTAATTAAATAAAAATATTTCTTTAAGATGGGGAAAAGAAAAATATGCCAGGTTTAGGAATCTTAAGCCATACCGGAGAGGAACACACTGTAAAAATGACACATGTGGAGGGGTTACATCGCAGTCCTAACAATTATCAAATTCACTGCCTGATCAAGACCACTGCCTGATCAAGACCTTGTAGCTTTATCCAGCTATCGTTGTCTCCGCCCAAATGACTGGGTTAGCAAGAAGTAATATGAATTGATAAATATGTATTACTGAAGTATACGATTAACTTTATCAATGTTTGTGTTATTAATAAGATATAATAAAATGTACTCAAATTCCGTTATTGTGTTATCGATCAATAGTATAAAACATAGTTCTTATTACTTAATAATAGATTTTTGTCGTTTAATGTGTACACCTCTACATTGGGATACAAAAGCTGAGGTTCCACAATAACGCCAATTTTTTAAACGTTACAGTTCGGGTAAGTGCATATTGAGTAATGAAAAATTACAAGACTTGTTCAATTATCTTAAAATGACATTTACAATACGGACTGGACTGATGAAACTACATACTTGATGAATTGTTGTTGTTGTTGTTGATTATGGTGGGACCAGTTTGTTGTGGCATGGCGACGACTGGTGAGCTTCTTTTACAGCAACAATAGCAGCAGCATATTAATAGTAACAAAATTCCCCCGCAAACCACAACTGCCCCTATTGTAAAAAATGCCCAGTCCATCACCAGACCTGCAAAGACAAGATTTTCTCATAGATAATTCCCTATTACCATATCTATAAAATCAGGTATTTCCCGTTGTCACGTGTTTTTATCATATCTTAAAACACGTGAATTTCTTGTCATATTATCACCATACTTGTAAAGAAGTGTATTTACAGCTCTCATATTTTAACATTGCTATAAAGACGTCAACGTTTTTATCATCCTACCTTCAAACAGGTATTTTTTCGACCTATAATATCACCAAACCTATAAAAACAGGTATTTCTCGTCCTATAATATCACCATACCTATAAAAACAGGTATTTCTCGTCCTATAATATCACCACACCTATAAAAACAGGTATTTCTCGTCCTATAATATCACCACACCTATAAAAACAGGTATTTCTCGTCTTTAATTATCACCACACCTATAAAAACACGTATTTCTCGTCCTGTAATATCACCACACCTATAAAAACAGGTATAATATCACCACACCTATAAAAACAGGTATTTCTTTATATTATCACCACACCTATAAAAACACGTCCTATAATATCACCATACCTATAAAAACAGGTATTTCTCGTCCTGTAATATCACCACACCTATAAAAACAGGTATTTCTCGTCTTTAATTATCACCACACCTATAAAAACACGTGTTTCTCGTCCTGTAATATCACCACACCTATAAAAACAGATATTTCTCGTCCTATAATATCACCACACCTATAAAAACAGGTATTTCTCGTCCTATGATATCACCATACCTATAAAAACAGGTTTTTCTCGTCCTATAATATCACCACACCTATAAAAACAGGTATTTCTCGTCTTTAATTATCACCACACCTATAAAAACACGTGTTTCTCGTCCTGTAATATCACCACACCTATAAAAACAGGTATTTCTCGTCCTATAATATCACCACACCTATAAAAACAGGTATTTCTCGTCCTATAATATCACCATACCTATAAAAACAGGTGTTTCTCGTCCTATAATATCACCATACCTATAAAAACAGGTATTTCTCGTCCTATGTTATCACCACACCTATAAAAACATGTGTTTTATCTTCTTTAATTATCACCATACCTATAAAAACAGGTGTTTCTCATCCTATAATATCACCATACCTATAAAAACAGGTATTTCTCGTCCTATAATATCACCACACCTATAAAAACAGGTGTTTCTCGTCCTATAATATCACCATACCTATAAAAACAGGTATTTCTCGTCCTATAATATCACCACACCTATAAAAACAGGTATTTCTCGTCTTTAATTATCACCACACCTATAAAAACACGTGTTTCTCGTCCTGTAATATCACCACACCTATAAAAACAGGTATTTCTCGTCCTATAATATCACCACACCTATAAAAACAGGTATTTCTCGTCCTATAATATCACCACACCTATAAAAACAGGTATTTCTCGTCTTTAATTATCACCACACCTATAAAAACACGTGTTTCTCGTCCTGTAATATCACCACACCTATAAAAACAGGTATTTCTCGTCCTATAATATCACCACACCTATAAAAACAGGTATTTCTCGTCTATAATTATCACCACACCTATAAAAACAGGTATTTCTCGTCTTTAATTATCACCACACCTATAAAAACACGTGTTTCTCGTCCTGTAATATCACCACACCTATAAAAACAGGTATTTCTCGTCCTATAATATCACCACACCTATAAAAACAGGTATTTCTCGTCCTATAATATCACCATACCTATAAAAACAGGTGTTTCTCGTCCTATAATATCACCATACCTATAAAAACAGGTATTTCTCGTCCTATAATATCACCATACCTATAAAAACAGGTGTTTCTCGTCCTATAATATCACCAACACTTTAAAAACAGGTATTTCTCGTCCTATAATATCACCACACCTATAAAAACAGGTGTTTCTCGTCCTATAATATCACCATACCTATAAAAACAGGTATTTCTCGTCCTATAATATCACCACACCTATAAAAACAGGTATTTCTCGTCTTTAATTATCACCACACCTATAAAAACACGTGTTTCTCGTCCTGTAATATCACCACACCTATAAAAACAGGTATTTCTCGTCCTATAATATCACCACACCTATAAAAACAGGTATTTCTCGTCCTATGATATCACCATACCTATAAAAACAGGCGTTTCTCGTCCTATAATATCACCACACCTATAAAAACAGGTTTTTCGCGTCCTATAATATCACCACACCTATAAAAACAGGTTTTTCGCGTCCTATAATATCACCACACCTATAAAAACAGGTTTTTCGCGTCCTATAATATCACCACACCTATAAAAACAGGTTTTTCGCGTCCTATAATATCACCACACCTATAAAAACAGGTTTTTCTCTTCCTATAATATCACCACACCTATAAAAACAGGTATTTCTCGTCCTATAATATCACCACACCTATAAAAACAGGTTTTTCGCGTCCTATAATATCACCACACCTATAAAAACAGGTTTTTCGCGTCCTATAATATCACCACACCTATAAAAACAGGTTTTTCTCGTCCTATAATATCACCACACCTATAAAAACAGGTTTTTCTCTTCCTATAATATCACCACACCTATAAAAACAGGTATTTCTCGTCCTATAATATCACCACACCTATAAAAACAGGTATTTCTCGTCCTATAATATCACCACACCTATAAACACAGGTATTTCTCGTCCATCCTTCCTTCAGGACAGGATCAAATTAGAATGCATATATGTACCATAATAGCGGAAAGAGCAATGAAATGAAAATCTATAAGACACAATATATACAACATCATGCATTGTCACGTGTTACAACACTTAACGTATGTACTAAATGACCAATAACAAAGAATGCAGCAATATTATTAACTAATATTTTCTGTATTCTGGTCCTAAAAGTATTGAATGAAGAAATTCTAATATCTTAAAGATCGGTATTAGATTGTATAAAAGACGCTATTGTTGATATAAGTACATGGCAAAATTATGTTTGCATATCGAATGATAAATATATACACATTTTTTGACAATCACTTGATATCCTAATTTGATCTGCTCCCTTTTCTACACATAAAATATTTTTTTATCGTTAAACCTTTACCAACTACATGTAAATTATATTGTAAACTTTGATCTTAGAATGGAATGTAATATACTTACTTTGCCTTGGATGAGGATACACTGAAAAAGATAGTCCACGTTTGTGTTTGTTCAGAGGTTAGCGAACCAGGATAGAAAAGTTAAGAACCATCATTACATATGATAAAAACATACGTATTCTTTCGATGGTGTAATGTGTATTACTCGCGTTTGATAATCTGTGAATTCAAGTAAAATAATCGAAATGAAATTCGTTATACAGTAGTCAGTGAATATCTGTGATAACAAGACTTCACACTATCAGCCCCTTTTCCCCCAATATCCATGCGCTCATCATATATATATACATTTCGAGCTGTGGATACATAAACATATTTTCCCGAACATGGCGATCAAATGTTTTTAACTATCAATCAATCTTAGCATGGTCGGTATCCTAATCAGACTGAGAAACGTTCTATAAAGCAAGTTGTATTAGATGCCATTATTTCGCCTGGTAGTTTAAATTTTGCTGACTCTGGCCGCATAGAGAAAAGACAAAGATATTTGAATTTGTACTGTTTCATTTTTTGAAAAGTTCCTTTGAAATCCCATATACATTGTCATCTAGTTTGCCAGTGATGGACAACACTCATCAGAAACATACAGCTAACCTTCTCAAATATCTAACCCCGAAGGTGTATTTTTCAGTCTGCGCTGCTGAAATTCAGTTTTTGAAAGCTGCATAGTAAACGGGAAGACTCGGAAAAATGGCAGCCTTGCGCTCTTTAACCTTTCTAACAGATGGACCCTCCAAATCTAGAAATGTAAGGACTGATTTTACACTCAGTTCTGTCCATTTTACAAGCTCAGTGAGGGCATATCTCTCCAACAAAGTATTACTTGTAAACAATAGCCACCACTGATATGATTCTTTATGATATATGAAATGAAATCAGAACTGAGAAATATTCGATAGAATTGTAAATGGGGGATGTTGGTGTGTGATAGAATATTTTTTAAGTGATAAGTTTTAGGGAATAGTGATTTACTTTTGTCAGCGATAGCTTGCTTTGTCGGGATTTAATGTCTTCGCGACAACCCGGGTCATTTGAGGACCGTCGTCAATATTTAGTAAGCCGACTTCTAATAAAATGGGACGTGGAGTCAATCTACTGAGTGGGCCACAATTATGACATTTAAGAATGATTGAAACTGTGAAAGTAATAGTCAGATGCTCTTTGTGTGGGGCTTTTCATGTGCGTCATTACATCAACAATTGTCGTATGGTGAGGACGACCAGTGACAGATGACTTTTTATTAATATATATATTGATTTTCTCTTGTAACTACCATTATCACTTTCATTAATAATGATTCACAACAATAATTGGACGTAGAAACAATTAACCCCCGACCTTCAAGCACTTGATATCGGCTCTTTGCATCTCTGACGAAACAGCTGAATCCAGAGTTTTAATTTCTGCTGTCTTTTTTTCTGTTTTGATCTGCATGTGTTATTCTCTCATGTGACTTTTACACAAGACTTTGAAACCTGTACTATGAATGCGTTGTCCTATTAAACTTATATCTTTCCGGAAAATTAAAAATCTTTAGTTTCAGGAGTGGTCTCCCTTTGTACGTCTGACAGAATTAGAAGGGTATTGATTTGAAAACTAGAGATGATATTTGTCCATATTCCTAATAGTTGAATACCTATTTCCGATGTTTGGTTAGATAGTACGGTCATAACACTTTTTTATGTTACATTATGTTTTTATGTACTATCCTG